GATATACAATCGTCAGCATGCACAGTTTTAATAAATGCAAAGCCATTAACAAACGGCGATTAATTACCAACAAATTACCTTGCGTCGATTACTTTGGAGGCGCTGTTCAGCAAGGCAGGGGGTGTGTGAGCTGGGAACGGGTAGCGATCTTTTGTTTTGGGTTGTTCTCGCAGCTGAGGACTGAGGAATAGGCAAGATATAACAGACTTCTCTCCTGTTCTGTGTGTGTCTAAGTAGCTCTAAAGGAGACTGAGGCTGACGAAAGATATGTGCGTGTGTGTGTGTGTGTGTGTGTGTGTGTGTGTGTGTGTGTGTGTATGTGTTTGTGTGTTTGAGACTGAGAGAAGCAAGACAACTAGCCACTGGTGCTAGACCAGCACAGACAGGCGTTGGCTCACTCGATGGGCTTTGCAGCCAGATGGTGAACTGGCTGACTGGAAGCCTATCTGGTTGGCTTGCTGGCAGTCTGGCTGGCCCGGTGGCTCATTGGCTGTTTAGGTGGAAGAACTCTGCCTGGTAACGACAGAGCCAGTGAAAGAACAAGGAAAGCTGTGTTTTTCAACACGGCGGGGTTCTTTTCTTCTCTCTCTTTCCTCTCTTAATATCTGGTTCTGATCTTTTCTTTTTGCATTTTGGTATAAATTGAATGCACAAATCGACAGAACTGTAGCATGTATTTTGTATCTGATGAACAGCCATTACAGACTAAGACACTGTTAGATTACAATGGTGGAAAAGGCAGAATGGCGTGTTGGCATTATTTCTACATGCAACATGAATCACTTTTTTCCTGCCAGAAGACACTGGTAACATGCCGCCATGGAGCAATATGGTGGTGGGTGAAGTGCAGAGATATATTAGACAATATGATTCAGCTGAGACACATAATGTTACTGCTGTTAGATTTGCCATGGATTTCTTTATTTCTAAAACAGCACTGAGGTGGAGGGAAGTGGCGAGTCACCCTTTCCTTCCTGAGTATTAATCAGTACAGAGTTGCATTTCATCCTTTACATTTTTTTCATCCCATTGAAAGAGCTATAACTCCTGTGAATTATGAAAAAAAAAAACATACACTCATACCTTGCCAATCTCTAACTGCTCCACCAACGCTGTCAATCCAGCAGACACATCATCACAGAGCCCAGCCAGCCACCTGCAGACAGACCGCTCACCACCACGAGAGAAAGTGATGAAACACATTTCATAATGCTGTCAAATTTAAAAGCTCATCAGATCTAACTTGCTTGAGCCGATACAACGCAAAGTTATGGCATGTAGCTGGGTGTTGATGAGTGGATAATTCATTCAAACCTCCCATTGTTTCACAGCGTGCCACAACGTGTTGCATGTACTTGCATCTGCTAATACTGGAGAATACTGCAAAACATGTTTTAAGCTTCCCAGGGGAAGTTTCCTTTGTTCTTGTGACTTCTGTCGACATGTTTGTTAGAATTTAAGGCGCTTTGAGGAGAGCTGCTGCTGATGAGTCAAAACTCGTCTGAACTGCTGAGCAGTTGTTCAGATGGGTAGAACTGAAGTCATTTTGGTCTACCATCGAATGCATGCTGAGTTTTAGTTCCCTGGTGCGCTAAATGAATGGATGGTTGAATGACTGGACTACGGACACCAGGTTTTAAGGAGCTCAACAAACCACTTGATAAAAGATGAGAATACTTGATAATTCTGGACATTAGCTGGGGCACAGAGCACCTTATTCAACTCAGGTTTCTTTTTTTAATTTTAATTTCCAACTCAGGTTTACTGTACACATTTCTGCACTTTAAGTTATATTTTATCATGTTATTATTATTATATTTTTCTATTTGTTTTGTGTATTTGTCTAATTATCGCACTGTTGTGTAAAGGGAGTCGGGCAAAGGAAGATTTTCATTGTATGGTATAAACCAGTGTGTCTCTTACTGTGCATAAGACAAAAAACCTCTTGAAATGGGAAACTGAAGCAGCAAGTAGCAGCAGCCCAGCTCATGTCCTCAGTTGTGCACTTCATATGGACAGTTATCACATAATAAAGACATTTAAAAGTTCCTCCTGAATCCTGTAAATGCGATGGTCTCGGGAATCTGGACAAAGATATGAGTTCACATAATAGACTATATTTAGCTGCTAATTGCTAAATATGCTGGGATGCTAGCTAACCTACCTTTCTAGCAGTTAGCTGGCCTATTAGGTAGCTGGCTAGTAGCTACAATAAAGAATCAAACATTTTGAAGATTGAGAGTAATATAGTTTAAATGCCAATGACCGTTTTAGTAACACATTTTTATAGCACACGCATTCTCTCTCATCTCAAAGTATTCACATTAGCGACACATTTGTTCATACTGTAGTTTACTCGTTTGCAAAAAGCAGAAATATTTCAGCATAACAATTTCAGAGAAAGTGTCAACTCAGTGGTTCATTTCTCTGCTCCTCAGTCTGCAATTCAGCACTTATTTGGTCTGGATTATGTAATGAAAATACTGCACAAAAACCCAAAGACTGTAGCTCATTCACACCCACCTTTGTTTTATTAAGCCTGCATTTCTCTTGTGTCTGAAAAGTTCCACATAATGGCAAACTGACTTTTTTGGGAGTACTGTTGCTACTTCACCAGTCAACCGGGTGCTAAAATGACAAGAAAAGCAAACGTGAAAGAGAGTGGGAGAGTATTACCTACTGGAAGAGTCTGCACTTGATTGAACCTAGCCATTTTAGCACTCATGGATTTCAACAAGCACAGAAGGGCTGGCCTCTGCAGGATGCTGCAGCTACGTCATACAACTTTTCAAAATAAAAGTTTTCAGAACCTGTAGTGATGGATGAGAATTGTAACATTTATATTTATTTAGTAAAGAGGAGTACTGTTGTATTCAGAATTTGTTTTCCTAATTTCATAAGCAAGGTTTTAATACTTTCCCTGTCTATACTGTGCTTTGTTTGTGTGGTTAGTTTTCCACTGGAGGTTGCAATGGCCTTCAATGCGTCTATTCCTCACTCGATTTTTGCTAATGTCTCAGCTGTGACATATACATTCATACATACATACATTTATTAACCTATATATACCTAGTTAAAACTAATGCAGTGTAATAAAACAGCCTTGCAATACATTGTACCTTCATGAAGGTTATGATGTGTGTTTGTTGGAACTGTTGTAGAGAGGTGTTAATGGCAAACATGATGTTGTGTGAGTGTGTATATGTTTTGCTTTTACCCAGCATTTGAACAACCAAGATGAAGACCATGTGCAGACAGTACTGGCTGAATAAAGGACAAACTCTTCCAAAAGGTCAGTCGCATTGCCAAGTTATCATTCATATGCATAAACCAATGGAGAGTGCAGACGAGTTCATAGCATCTACAGGAATATTGTTAGTGCCTGTCAAAATTTAGACCACATTTCTTTCAAGTCAAACACAATCTTTGTGTCTTTGATCAAAGGTTTTCTATTTGTCTTTTCTGAGGAGGTTACGCATGTTGGAAATATTTTTTTTCCCACAGTTATTTCAGTTTTTCCACAATCTGCCATTTCGAGAAGAAGCTCTGAAAGCTGTTTGGCTCAGACAGTCTCTCTCTGTGCCATAAGATAATCCGTCTGGTTTCTGAACAAATCTGTCCTAGTGTCATACAATGTAAAATGCTGTGTAGACTTTAGCAAAAAATTCTTGGTTATGCTCACAGTAACTATAAAGCTTAGCCTACAGAATTTCTCAGGTTTAAATCTTGGTAGCACCTTTCAATGTCTCATTTATTGCACCATTACATGGATTTCCATTGGGAAAAAGTCATTGAATGAGATGAAAATATGCTGTACCAGTGAGAAAGTACAGATGTCAGTTCATATGCACCACCAAATTAGTCTAGTACCTGTGCCAGCCAGTGCACCAGGCGCTGTCATAGCAGTGTCACAGTTGTCATTATCACTCACCTTCATGCTTCAGGATGGCTAGCTGGGAAACTGTTTAGATGAAGTGTCAACGTTAGGTGAGTGTTCAATAGATACTGATTTTCCTGGAACTTCCATTGTCTTTCACCTTCACATTTGTCATTTGTCACCCTGACGGTGTCATCCTCAGCACAGAGGAGTTTCAAACCAATGAGTCCAAAACAGAGATGGCATGAAAAGCCACAGCAGGAGCTCCAATGTGTGAAAGGGTGACAATGACCTTCGACAAACAACACTGTCAACACATTACGATCAGCAGGGTAGTTGACAAAGAGTGTGACAGGAGGTGTAAATGAGAAGCCCTATTAAACCAGTGCTGTGTGAGCATGGTGTGATGCCACTGCAAAGCTACAAATTCACATTTCCTCTCAGCTGGGTTTGTATTGTGAATGAGGTATGCTGCATGTTTATGTGAATGCAAACTACTATGAACTGAGCTCAAGAAAAATTTGCTTCTTTATTCCTATAGTTAAGGTGCAGGTGTCATTATATCGAAATTGTCGAAGAATAAGTTGTTGACAAATGCAAAGCAATTATAGCCTCTAACATATGGTGTAATCTTTTCATCCACCTATTTTTCAATCAAAAGGAACATAGCTGAATGTCTTTCAGAGAAAGGGCTACTTTATTTTTCTCACAATGGCAATTTCTTATTGTTTTCTTGTTGAAATGAAAAGCAAGTAAAAGAGCTTAAAGAAGAAACACATAATTTACTGCAGTAAGCAATGTGTTTAGTGGCTTATTTCTTAATTAGAGGGATGATACCTCCGTAAACAGTCAAAGCATCTAAATATGTTTCAAATTGATTAAATGTTGATGGAAAAGATTTGGCCCCATCAATCAGATCTGAGGTGAAATCGACAAGATTAATATTTAAAACAGGATCCACTAAAAAGGTTCTGAACTAATTAAATAATGTTGTAAATTTTAAGCTTAGTTACTAAGTGATTAAATATTGACATAAGGGTTTAACACTGAAATTTACACTAAGCAGCTCACTTCACAGGGAGTGAATTAAGTTTCTAAGTTTTTGACAATCAAGACAATCAACTTTAAACAATAAAAATATCAATCTTTATTCTTCGAGATAGCATATCAAAGATAAAACCTTAATCTATGATACCATAACAAATTACACAAGAACTATACAACAGTAAACAAAGTGTAACCAAATAACTTTCTCTGGATAAAAGACAATAGTTCTCTTGGTTTTTTAAATGATATCTTCTGTATGTATGTATGTTGTGTAAAATATTTTTATTGTGACTTAAAATGGCAGAAACTATGCTTCTGATTTAGGAAATGGTTTCAATTTCGATGTAGCCTCTATAAAAATATCCAGTGCCTATGAATGCACGAATTTTCCCACAACTATTAAAAAATATCAGTTGCATCATGTTACTGTATGGGTGCTATTTAATGTTTCTTGGCATAAATTCTTGCTCTCAGTGGCAGTAAAACATTCCCCTCTGACAAAATGCTTTAAGATTGCAATGTGACTATAACTGTTCTGTTATCTATTGCTAGGATCAGTCGTGATTATTAATAATCAATGCACAATATAGACCACCACATTTCCTTTGGTGCTTAGTTATAGTGCAACCTCGCCAACATGGTACAACATACTGTATGAATGCAGGCAACAAAAATCAAACACTGTCTACAGCTAGAAGATCACTGTTAAAGACCTACGACAAACCTCTGGAAGCCAACAGCTGGAATGAACGTTTAATTAAACTGATTACACTAAACATACACATAAATACCTATTCATAAATCAACTCTATATACTGTATGTGCTTCTCTTTAGAACAGAAATTTTGACTTTTATTTGGTTTACGAAAAAAATGGACAAAACAGCTGCATGGGACAACAGTTGCACAGATTCCTCCCATCTTATACAATAATATTAGAAGATGAACAACAGCAATAAAAATACAATAATAAATGAGCGATGTAAAATGCAAGGTATGACTGTATTACACAACATTGGCATTATATGAGAGAGACAGGGTGGTTTGGCTAAAAGGGGTTTTAAAAACATAACACAATGGAAAAATGACAAGAGGACTTATTTTTCAAAAAGCTGCTCCACACTGCTTCTGCTTTCTTTCTTTTTTTATTATTTTGCAGTGTGGAGGTGTCAACAATATCTTTACTTTCTCCGTAACACTATAAACCAAATCTACCCTACTTAACCCTAGTATCTATACAAAACTATACACCACAACACAAAGCAGACCAGGCCAGTGGCACTAACAGTAATTCCTAGTTTAGAGCTATTCTAGTATCATCTGATATGCAGTACTTCATTTTGAATTATGATATTTCTCCTCATCTGGACAGGACTGCATAGTTAAACCTCTTGTCAACCCAAGATCTTGCAAAGGTATTCTGTATGCAATAGGCTTTTTCTCATGGGCACGTGTTTTCCATCACTGTGGTTGATTCTGATCAAAATCTCGCACATTGTTTCACTGGTGATTTACTTACATCTTAGTTATATGGCTACTGCGCTCCACTACAGTCCTGACAGTCAGTGTACGCTCTAAAAATAAACCTGGCAGCTCAAAGCTCAATAATGAGACATATAGATTTACTTTTGTTTCTACCTGACGACTTTCATGGTTTGTTGTAAACAATCCTGAATGTAGATTGCATTGGGCGCTCAGTCAGATGAAAAAAAAACCAAGAGGAGTTCTGTACAGTATTTGGATCTGGAGGGAAGACAGGATTTTTCTCAGAGTTGCAACGATAAAAAAAAAATAATGATGGAAAATATGGAAATTTACTTTGCATCCTGTGTCTTGTACTTTCCTGATAAATTAAAAGCTGCGGTTAGGTAGTTTTTTGGCAAGAAAAAGTCCTTCTAGGTAACAAAACTGGCCTTCACAGCATGAGTGTGTGTTTGTGGGCTTATGTAAACAGAATACATGTGCGAGTGTATGTTTGGTGCCTGGCTGTGTCCTGATATCATAAATTGGCGATTTGGCTCCTCACAGGATTCTCTACATCTCGTGGGACAGGGCTTCGAGCTGAGCAGCCACCCCGTTGGCCTGCAGGGCGCTGGGCTGCTCCTCAGGCTGACCATTGGCCTTTGGCTGAACATCAGGATGGTCAGATGGGTGTGTGCTGAAATGGGCGTTGGATTCATTTAAACGGCGGACACGATACGTCTCATAGTGGATGCTGCCTGTGATGTCTTTGATGTTCTGCATGTGTGTCCTGAAAGAGAAAGACGACGGTGTTAGCAGTATTGCCTGTAGCACTTAACAGTACATGCCTATAAATCAAATACGTGTCCTTGTATTATTTTATATGTTTTAGCCCGGTGGTTCCCAAAGTGGGCGTCATGGCACAGGCCAAGGATGCTGAATGATTTGTTCATTTTATTTTATTACGTCTACAGTACATTTTAACTACACTTGGCTAATTGGCCTGCAGCTTTTTATGAATAGCTGTCCCACTGGAATGCCTCATTTGCAAGAAAAAGTTATCATACACTCTTCAAGCATGTAATAGAGCTAAATACAATAAATTAATGATGTTGTGTAAAATGTAAAATAATTGCCATTTTAACATAGCCGTAGCAACACAAGACTGAGGAAAGTCCTATATTAGTTCATGAAATAGTGATGTTACTCTATATATCAATATTATTGGTTTTGATAGATCATTAACAATAAATTCAGATATCCACTAGATATTAAGTGTGATTTCTAGCTGAAAAGGTTGCTCTTGTATGCACAAAGTGTGAATGGAGATACCAGAAAAAAACTGTTTAAGCCTATAAATCAGCCACAGATTAAGACTCCTCTACTATGAAGAAATTTGCATGTTAACATTCAATGGATAATCTTTGTAGGCATGTCTATTGTAACATTATCCAGGGAAGCAACCCATTTAAATAATTGAATTAGTATTTATTTCAGTCGGGAAGTGAAGCCTCAAGTCTCAGTGCTGTTTCTAATTAATTTCTCAACACAATAAAGTGAATGATTCCATCAAAAGAACTCTAAAGTGTGATAGAAGCTCACCTGATGAGGAGGTCTCGCAGGTAAGCAAACTCACAGTGTGCAATATTCTCCACTGCAGAGAGAGAGAGAGAGAGAGAAAGAGGAAACATTAGAAGAATTGCGTAACTTCAGACAGACAAAAAAAATATTCTGTCTGTTAAGATTTCATGCTGCAGTCAAGATAAATTATGACTTGGGAAGATGCCCAAAAGATGAAATAATTTAAAGCAATTAAATAACTAATTAAATATATATCAATCAAAATCCCTGCTATTCCAGCTCAGTTGACATTACTTAAAGGACCACAAAGGGGCAGTGTTGTTCACAAGTCAACTGAAGGGCATCTTCTAACATGACATCTGTAGCAATTTTCTTAAGCCAAGATAACACACTCCTCCACTTTAGAGTAATTTAATACATCTAGGCTCTCCTCTATATTGGAGAACTTTAAGTGAGACGTTTTAACAAACTCCCAGTGACAAGCTGCTGGTGCCTCCAGTTAGGGCTAACACGTGTTTGAATTATAGATTATGTCAAGAATATAAATGAAAAAAAGCAGGGTGCTATTTATGTAAAGCTTTGAAATCCAGGGGCAGGAAATTAAATTCTCTTTGAAAGGAAGAGAGTGGAATAACTGCTGGGTCTGTGAGCGCTGATTAGTGGCGTCGAGGGAACACGTTACTAACTTGTGACTGCACTGCTGGTATCTCCACTCTCTGCTCATGGAGAAATCCCTATATGCAGTACTTATTCGTTCTCCTCCGTCTCTAATTGTCCCCTCAACTCCTGAAAATAAACAGTTTCTTCTCCACTTGTGATAGCTATATGGAGACTTGACTTCTGGCTTCTTCTCTGAGGCCTAAATTATGAAGTTGGTGCAGACAAGTTCAGCTGCCCAGCAGCTTCCTCTCTCCTCCTTTTCCTTGTTCCCTCTCTCCCACCGCTTGGCTTTACAAGAATGGAGCCATTGTTCCTCTAGCCGGACAAGACAGCGTTTGTCCCACAGTCCGTGTACTTTACCTCTCTCACCCTGCCATTTTGTGGAGTTAACTTTATAATGCTTGTTGACAGAGTAGTAGTCACCTTTGAATTCTTAACACTAAAAGGGCTCATGGTACTTCCTTGGAAATGTCATCTTTTTACAGAGTACAACTGTCCTGTTTCAGCTTGAACTAAAACACTGTTATCCTTCATTATTAGTGAAATAATAAAAATCCCTAGAGCAAACAGTTGAATGTTTTATCATGTTTATAATCCTTTAAATCTTGAATAGACTGATATCCCAGTGCTTCCTGCTCACACTGGAGTCCTGTGATCCACTGTAGTTTTTTAATGATTTTTAAGCAGTGGTGGAGGAATCACTCATTAAACCTTACTTAAAAAGACCAGGGTGTAAGATATAGTGGCATCTTGTGGTGAAGTTGCAGATTGCAACCAACTCAATACAGCTCAGTCTTCCAAGCATGTAGGAGAAACTACGTTGGCCACAAACCTCGCGAAAAATGCAAAAGCCCTATCTAGAGCCAGTATTTGTCCGCTACTGTAGAAACATGGTGGCTCAACATAGCGACCTCCGTAGGAGAGGACCTGTAGATATAAACAGCTCATTTAAGGTAATGAAGATATAACGATTGCTATATTCAGGAATTCATTATACACAAATATGATGTTTGATGGGGTAGGAACAAAAAACAAAGCTCTACTATACACATTTGTAGTCTTTTTGCCTCTTATCTTTGATCAATTAAAAAGAACAAATACCTCAAAATTGTTCTTAACTACAGCACTTGAGTTAATGCATTTAGTTACTTAGCAACAATCTCATAAAGAGCTGAACAATCCTTGAGCTACCTCGAGCTACGTGGATGATCTTTTCAAGGTCATATTCCTAGTGAACAGTTGTTGGCTCCCAACCATGCTGAATTGCAAGAAATAGACAAGCAACTTTCTAGATTTTACAGTCTGGATAATTTACAGATTAAAATAGTCTTTATTAAGTGTTTTATATTTTGCAATGCATTTATAGCATTTCCAATAAACTAGTGCTCAGTATGCAGAAGAGTGCTTAAGTGCATCTTGTGAAGGAGACAGTGTTTAACATGGATAGTCCCTTGTACAGGCCTCCTTCAGCTGTCTTATTGTCCTCCAGTCATACTTTCACTCCTCGTCCAGACAGATTTTTTTTTCTCTCTCTCTCTCTCTCTCTCTCTCTCTCTCTCTCTCTCTCTCTCTCTCTCTCTCTCTCTCCCCCCTCTCTCTCTCTCTCTCTCTCTCCCTCTCTCTCTCTCTCTCTCTCCCCCCCTCTCCCTCTCCCTCTCCCTCCCTCTCCAATGGGTTAGGTGAGGACATTCACGTGCTAAGAACCTCTCCTTGGCAGTATGTTCATGCAGCACAGGCCAACAAACGTAAACTGTATCAAAGTTAATGCGTGCAAATGTGTGTGTGTGTGTGTGTGTGTTTCATATTTGTTGTCTGTTGTCCCAGCGGACACAGAAAGTCCTTGTAAATCTCTTCCTCCTGTCTCATACATCTCCCTAGTTACTGACTCAGAGAGACGTATGTAAACAAACGCCTGGTAGTCAAACAACAGACGGTAAAACCAGCTGGCCAGATTTTAAAGCTGCAGTCTGTAACTTTCCACATGTTGAAAATGTAAGAATCTGTCTGTTCTTTGGTACGGTGTGTGAATGCCATCAACTGTTCAGGTAGTGTGCATGTGATTATATTATTCATTAGAATGATAAAGTTGGCACTGTAAATTGCACAGGTGTGAGTACAGTAAATGAGCCGTTTAAGTGTTTGACCAAACTCCACCGTGCAGATGGACATTATACTATACATTATTAGGCCAATCTGTAATATATATACACCGATCAGCCATAAGATTCTGAGCACTGACAGGTAAAATGAATAACACTGATTATCTTGTTATCATGGCACCAGTGGGTGGGATATATCAGGCAGCAAGTGAACATTTTGTCCTCAAAGCTGATGTGTTAGAAGGAGGAAAAATGGGCAGCATGAGGATTTGAGCGACTTTGACAAGGGCCACATTGCGATGGTTAGACGACTGGGTCAGAGCATCTCCAAACCTGCAGCTCTTATGGGGTGTTCCCAGTCTGCAGTGGTCAGTACCTATCAAAGTGGTCCAGGGAAGGAAAAGTGGTAAACCGGAGACAGAGTCATGGGCAGCCAAGGCTCACTTATGCACGTGGGGAGTGAAGGGTGGCACGTGTGGTCCGATCCAACAGACGAGCTACTGTAGCTCAAACTGCTGAAACAATTAATGCTGGTTCTGATAGAAAGGTGTCAGAACACACAGTGTATCAGTTTGTTGCGTTATGGGGCTGCATAACATTATGATGACCAGCGTGCCCAGGTGGTTATAATGTTATGGCTGATCGTTTTTATATATATGTAAAATTTTTGGATTTCAGTTTTAAGGGATACTGGCAATGGCAGCTAAGTGTGAACATGGCTTAACTGTGTTTAGACCATCAGGGAACATACATTATTCTGCCTGGTGAATCATTTTCTATTGTCTGTTTGGCAGAACAAGTAACAAGCTGTGCAATTTTATGTAAGTATGTGTGTGTGTCTTGGGATTGATGTGTATTACCCTCTATGGTGCCCCATTTTGTTTTCCTTCCCAGAATCCTCTTGCCGTTCACTTGGTACTCTTGGTCACTGCCCACAACAGCAAAAGGGATCATCTCCTGTTGGGTACACACATGCAAACACAAATGCACAAAGTAATTTAAATGTTACCAGTGATTTGGTTTTCAGGTCATGCTTTGGTTGTTTACCTTTGCTAGAACAAGATGCTGTATTCGACAATTGTGGCTTTTAAGATTTCCCAAATAAAAACAGAAAAGAACAGGACACAAAGGGAAGAAATTACATCTAACAAAGACTTGAATTTAAACCTGAAAAAAACACATTTGTGATTGTTATGTTCAATGTTGAAGCCAAGGAAAGATACGCCCTACTTTGGCTGTTGAAACCTGAACCCAACACTGTAGACTCACCCTGATTTTGTCATTGATCAGCCTGTCCTCTGCATCCTCGTCAAACTCTTTCTGAGGGTAAACATCGATTCCGTTGGCTCGCAGTTCTTCCCTAATCTGCACAAGGTTAAACACAATGACACTCAGACACTTTACTTGAAAATGGCTAAATATACATAGTAACAGCACACAAAGTTAAATTATATGTAACTGACCAACTAATTCAGTTTATTAATGTATAACTGACCACTCTAAAGTAGTCCTTTATGCGTTGGTAATCACAATTCAGAGACTTTTCTCACAGTTGCTGAATCATAGACATAGTCAAAGGTTTCCAAAATGAGACCTGAAAACAGACACTGAAAAAAGGAAGTCTGAATGGAAAACAAAAACAATCAATCAAGCCCAAACCCTTCATCCATCACCTCAGAATCCCAGCCCTGCAGCCAACACTGAAGTCAATCAGTCACCACGACACGCAAACATACGTGATGCTTGGACTGAATCCTGTTTACATACAGGTATTTAAGTTTGGGCCTGAGACTTGAATAGAAGCTGCTCTGACCCACTAGAGGACTTAAATAAACACTTGGTTCAATACTGGCTGGTGTTGACACTAAATGGTTCCTAATATCTTTGAGATGGAGGGGTTAATATAGAGGTTAACCGCTCTTACAAAAAAAATACATCCAGACAGAGATATGGCTTATAAAATGAACACCCCTATTCTCTCTATGTCTTTATAATGATTGAAACTCAGGCACTGACACAGAAAAATAGACAGACAAGCTTCTGGAAGCAATGTCCTTTTAATGAATGACTGTTCATTCCCACAATTACTACTCTGACAATTTCCACTTGGTCCTTGATCAAACATTTCATTGTTTATCCTTGGAAGCGTTCTCAGGCTTACATTATAAGATGCAAACCAAAAGAAATTCTACAAAAAAGCCACATCAACTGTTGGTTAGAGGAATACGAAGACACTCACAGCTGGACACACTGAGGCTGAACATTTAATAGAAAAACCCCTCTTACTCTGTTTGCATGTCAAGTTGCTGTAGGGAAAATGGAAAAAGAAATACATTTGGCATGAGAGCCTTTTAGTCAATAATCTTCAGGGTCATACAGAGCATGTGCGGCCAACGAAAACAATCCAGCTACAAGCCTGGTGGCTCCCATTCTCTGCCAGGGTCTGGTCCAATCCCTGCTTTGTTCTTATTGGACAGTGTTACAGGCATCAAGGGGAAAACGGTAGCCAAGACACCCATCGTGCTTCTCTAAAATGAATAAAGCTGTTAGGGACGTCTGTAGTCTTGGAAGGAGGGATGGAGAGATAAAGGGAATGATGGAGGAAGGCAGGTGGCCGTCTGCCTCCTGTGGATTGAGAATTATCCAACAGAAACACACCGAGGAATGGGATGCATGGGATGACCGCTTAAGACTCAAGCCAGGTGGAGCAAGAATCTGTTGTAGCAGGGAAAGCAATGATAAGAAGGTGATGGCTGTGATGTTACAGTGGGGTAGTATCAGCCTGAGGAGTTTCATTGTATTTTAGTTGGCTATGAATAAGGCTACTGAAACATACCAAAAGCAAAATAAGCCCTGAGAGGAACAACAACTGACAAAATATGCCTTTTAAATGTAGGTTTTGTGTAGTTTTGTTTAGTGTTCCAGCTCTTGTGATTTATAATTGTACAGTTATGGACATATTGGAAGAAGACCCTGTCCATTTGCTGCTCTGTGAGGCTGTACTTAGACACAGCTGGGATTTTGAGCTAAATGCTAAATAAACAGTTAACAAGTAAGGAGATATAATGCATACCGTTCACCATCTTAATCTCGTATGTTAGCATGCTAACATTTGCCAGTTATCACTGATCACAAAATACAGCTGAGGCTTATGGGAATATCATTCGTTTTGCAAGTATTGGACCAAAGATGAAAGGTCAGGGGATCACTTAAGCCATTAGGATGCATCATCTGGCCATTTTGAATATCTGCACCAAATTTCTAAATTCCATCTAACAGCTGTCGGGACATTTCACCAGAAACCAAAAATGTGAACCTCATGGTGGTGCTAGAGGAGAAAAAGTCGCCTGGGAACCATGAATGTCTGTAAAAAGGTTTGTGCTGCTCCATGCAATAATCATTCAGCTATTTTAGTTTGGAACTAAGTGGTGGACCAGCCAGCTGTTTGTGTAGCTAAAAAAAAAAAAAAAAAAACGAGCACTAAAAGATGAGCTAACTGTACATTGTAGAGAGCTTTAACTTTCACAATCAAAAATAGGGAAATTAACTTGGATTATTTGTATAAAATGATGAATATTCACTGTTAGCTAAAATGGTGCTTTCTAGCTCCTTTAATTCTGGTCATGTTTTTTTAATTTACCACGCGATGGAGACCTCTCTGAACTTGGCTGACTTGTACGATCACCCAGTAATTCACTGGTAATGAAGGGCCTGCCTGCTCAGCTGGCAACTGGGCAGAGGATCCCCATCTAAAAAAGAGCCAGACTTAAGAGCTGAGGAACGCTGCTCAGTAGATAAATGCTTCAAATAAATAGTTCTTAAATGGTTCCTTCTGGACTGAGCATGACTTTCGACGTGTTACAAATATAGAGATGATACAGTATTTCCCAGGATGGGTACAACGTGGGGTTTTTGCCCAGATGGCTTTTGTTTGTGGTGCCTGGCAGCTCTTCATATGTTACCGACCTGTGGTTGTGGATATGCATAGACGTGTGTTTGTGGGGGGAATCCGCCGACTGTTTGACCTACTGATGCACTCATCCATTTATTTTAAGCTTGCTCTAAAGACCTGCTACAGGCTTTTGCAGGTGTGGTGCAAGGAAAATGTAACCAAATATATATTGATGTCACAAGCGAACATCCACACATCCACAAATACACTCCAACACACTCCTCTCACCGTCTGTTTAAAGTAGTCCCTCTCCTCCAGGGTGAGCGTGTCAGCCTTGGCGATGACAGGGACGATGTTGACCACCTTGCTGAGACGCCTCATGAACTCCACATCCAGAGGCCTCAGACTGGAGGAAGAAAGAGACGACACAGTACAACATCATTTCATGCGGAAATGTCTGTAATTAAATGCGTTTGTTGTTTGCATTAATGTGTCTCGGGTTACAGGACAAGCCAGGATGTAAAAAACGGAAAACAACTCACAACACTGCAGATTTGTGCACCTTTTCATCTCATACAGATACCGGTATGTAAACCTTTTATCTGTTTATTTCTGAGTGACAGATCTGTGACACAAAGAATGTGTCTTTCATGCCATTAAGTTACAGCATCTTAATTCCTTTAATATGAATGTAATGATACAGAGTAACCACTAGATGGCAATCATGGTCTATTACATTACATTCAGTCCACCCTGGTTTCCATGTTAATATTCATACTGCATTAACATATGCTGCCGTTTCTTTCCTACACTCACTGAAACAATTCTCCTGTTACATTCTCCTAGGTGTGATTTCAGTAAACTGTAGAAGAACCTAGCACATTCTTTCCCAAGGTTAATGCATAAAACAGTGAATCTAATGCAGTTGTGTTTCAATTTGTCCTTAATGTTCTGCTTTTGCTTAACTCAAAGCAAAATATGGACAAAAGGATATTCTCCGCATTCACTGCTGTAACAGCCTTGCAACAGTTGTGCCTAGTGAGGCTCTGATTAGCGCTTATACTATTCAACACTGTTCCTGTATGTTTCCCATTTCTCTCCGCCCTCCATGTTGTTCTGTCTCATCTTTGCCTCCAGTTGCTCCTCTAGATAGACTCCCTCATGCTGTCTGTTCTGCCCTCCAATTAGCCCCAGTCAAGTCAGGCCAGCCTGGTTCAAAGACCCAGGGTCAGCTGCAGGAGAGGCCTTGCTGCCTCTCCTCAATGACTGACAAGCATGTCACCATGAACATAGGATGAAACACGGGATGTGTTACAAAAAGTGAGAAAGAGAGAGAAAATAAGCAATGCACTCAACCAGAGATAGAAAGCACTAAGTTTTTAATTGTCATACTGAGCTAACAACTGGCATGTGTCATATAGAGTTGACGATCTCTCGTTAATATTTAATCAAATATAAATAATGTAAACTGCATACATAGACTATCTATGTACATAAAAATTGGCATGTGAACTGCATTATATGCACGACTGAGCAAACATGCACCCTCCATGTGCGCACATGTATCTATGCACACAAACATATGCTGTATGGAGTAAAATATGTATGTATGCATGCATGCACACATGTCCACCTATATGCTTGCTTGCATGTACAAATTCTCCTTTTTGTGTCATTGGGGGGAAAAAAGCAGTCATGCTTATATACGATAAGCTCTGCAGTCAAATGAGAAGTGGAGAAACCAGCCAACCACAGTGCAGATAGCTCTCCCTTCCGTCTTTCTTTTCTATAAGAGATCAGAAACTAGCTCAGAGTTGATGAGAGTCAACGTGCAGCCTTCTTTTTCGCAGGGAAACATGTTAAATGAGGTAACAAACAAGACTGCCCAGAGGGAAAACAGTGCGGTTGACTCTGCCATTATTGGAAATGGCTGTCGATGCCAAGGCTGTGTTCTGTTTGGCTGAGCACAGTTCATCTATCTGAAACCACAGAAGCAACTTAAAAGCAAATTGCTGACATGCAAATTACATTAGATAAATACAAACTGCTGTTTAAAACGTTTCAGACAAAGAGACAATCGGGGAAAAAACCTAGCATATCTCCAATGATCGAGGCCTATGTGAGCTACCAGGGATGTTCTGTCATTTTCCTGCCTGTCATTCTTGGACTGTGGTCACATGGCAGAGGCGTCCAGAGGCTTTTGGCACTGTGTCTGTGTAATTGGTAACAGACCCTAATTTAAAACTTAAACTGGTGTTACTGTGTGAAACGAGAAAAGGAAAATAAGCAAAAAGAGAATAATAGAGAATCATTTTAGAGTTTTTAGATTTGTTCCAGCACTTTCTTCCCCTCATGAACCAAGCTCAAATCTAAGGCTCAAACTCATTTTTGGGACGTACAAAATTCGATTGCAAATATGTACTATATCTTGCCTATTTCTAAGTATCCTTATCTTAACATATGCACACATACAAGTGTGTTGTTTAATAATCATCTCTATGCCAGGTCACAACAGTTGCCCTGACAGATGTCTCCTTCTTTCTGCTGGCTACAACTCTCTGTAAGGAAGAGACCACTTCCTGACAGATGTTTGCATCTTCGCTTTCAGAATGAGTGTGTATTTTCATGTATTCATGAACATGTTTCAGTAAAGAGTCTGGGATATTTATGTGTGTGTGAATGTTGTGACACTTTGAATATAGCCTGATTAGCGACAACGTTTGAGGATATAGGAGCTGAGAGAGGGAAGCAACACGGATTCACAATGAAAGAGAGAAAGGAGAGCAGTTTAGGTGTTATTGAACTGAGCAACTGTAAGCAATGTGATACATAAAAACATTCAGGCCATCCAAATAAGAGTAGTTAAACAAATGTTAGCATGTCCACTGCCCACTTGAGTCCACTACCCACTCTGCTTTACACGAGCATGGATACACACAAAGACACATTCTCTGAAGCAGCAGGTGTGGCGACAAGAACAGATGATGAGGGAATCTTTCAAACAGTGGCACACACAGACACACACACATCTTATCCCCCACTCATAGAGGGAGCATTTAAGTGGACAACTGTTGAGTTACTGGTGCGCAGAAATATGAAGCAGCAGTGGATGGAGCCGTCACAGAGATATGCATTCAGATGGTTAGTGAATGAGTGTTTACAGTTGGTGCACATGGGTGTTTTGTGTGCTTTTGACTGCATGTGTACAATACAGCATTCATGTCAAGATTCATGTGTGTGCATTTAGCCTTACTGTGCGTCTGCATATGTAGCTATACGCCCTCCTCGACTCTCGGTGCACACGAGGACATACCACTCATTGCTGTTAAACTAAAACAAATCACCACTTGGAGGGAAAATAAGACCCTAATCACTGACAAAGCAGATGGAGAAATGTGGTTTGTATTATGCCATTTAAATGAAGTAAACATCCGCCACCTGGTTGTTTAAAAAGACACATGCGCTCTGCCAAGACACTGTGAGGACACTTTGGTCATGATCGGTTTTATTTCTCCAGAGCCTCTTTTCAATTAATTTAATCGGACAAATCTCGTGCCAAATTACAGCAACATTATTGTTGCAATCTCCGCAACTTTGGTCTATTAGCATAATTTACACAGAAGACAATCTGTTTTTACTGTTTAGTCTCTGACTACTGTCTAGTACTGTTGGACTCTACCCTGAATGTAAAATCTGTGAAACACTTTAATCCAGATGAACAATGAAGGCACTGACTTAATAATTACTCTAGACGTCTGATGCAGCACTTTTTAAAATTAAATTCAGCATAAAAACACTTCTGAATAATACTGCATGTATAATATATGTATGCATCAAACAACAACTAGAATTCCTCCTTCTTAAGATAAGGCACTTTCTACATCCTGACAATCGTTTCCCTGTCTCTTGACCTCCCCCTACTATGAGAACTGTAGAGTCCAATGTCTTTGTGAAATCTGACTCTTCAAGTGATACTTAAGTGTCTCTCAGGAGAGAATGAGTTCCACATGTGGTCACTAGAGAGGGAGATGAAAAAGAAAAGCTGGAGAAGGACGTGGTTAAAGAGCTGTGGACAGACAATGGGTCAGGGGAGATTCCCAGAAGGCCTGATTCATCTCTGCAGCTGTGGCAAAAACTTCGGAACAAAAAGTGGAGCACTTCACAAGGGTGTGCGACTCTTTAATATGTGATCTTACCAGTGGCCTGTGGGAGGTATGAAGTATATGCAGCAGTGCACCCTAGAGTCCGGGATCCTCTTCTTTCTGTTGATGTTTATTTCCTCCTGCAGGTAGGCTTCATACTGGTCATTGATAAACTTCATTATGGGCTGCCAGCTGACAAAGGAAAATAGCTTAGTTATTCGTGCTGAAGAATTATATTGCAAAATAATGTGGTTCTCTGGTTTCATGAAGAGTTGTGTTCTGTCATTGGACTGTCATATATAATAATAATTATAACATATCATCAGTTATGCTATCCAATGCAGCTTCCCTCTCGGTTGCATAAAACATGTTTGTAAAGCAAAAAATTTTATTTTTGTTAATTTACTCATTTTAATTATGTACTTTTGTAATTTCATTCTTTACATTGCGGCAATTTACAATCACAGAGTAGCTACAATAATTTTCTTAAAGAGCTGCTAATCCTAAAAAAATTATTATTATGAATTTCAGTGGCATGATTTTTTTACAGACACACACAGACACACGCACACACACCATTTCAAGCTAGTTGTTTTGATAAAACACTGAGCTTTGATAAGTAATAAGTAAATGCATAATACGAAAGGGCGGAAATGACTTCACAAACAGCTACTGATGCCTTCAGATAAAATAACCTCAGCTCACCAGTTTTCATTGTTGATCTGATCCCCAAAGCCTGGAGTGTCAATTACTGTCAGCTTCATCCTCACACCTTTCTCCTCAATATCTAGACAAAGAAAATATATTTAATTAGTATTTCTTATGGACACACACAGAAGGCAACAAATCAGTAGTATGACAGAACAACAGAAAACACATTATTATTATTATTCAGCTGTAGGTTACTAAACGTGAACATTGGCCAACCGTGACTGATGGACTTGATCTCGATGGTCTTGGGGATCCTCTCCTCTGGGTTGGGCTGCACTGACTTACGGCTCACCTTGGATTTGAACAGGGTGTTCATCAGAGTGGACTTCCCCAGGCCACTTTGCCCTGATGAGGAAAGCACAGACGCACACAGTCAGTTAGAGAAACTGGGAACACATTCACTCATGGTTTTAACTCTAGAAAGTCACAAAGGCAAACTTGTTGAAGACGGGAGCCTCATTCAGCTAAATCATAGAAGTTTCTTTTAGGCTTTTTTGTCCACCAGAAACTGAAGAAGACTGAATATGCCAGTGACATCAGCCCTAATGTATGGATTGTATAGTGAATGTGTGTGTATGTGCATGTGTGTGTTAACAGACTGTGACAATAGCGGGACAGCTGCAGGGTCAGACAGGCAAGCAGGGGAGGCCAAGAGGACAGATGTACTCTATAGACCACACACACGCACAAAAATGTCTACAATCGTGGACAAACATTCAAAAACCTTTTTGTTTTTATTTATTTATTTATTTTTTTTACACACACTCACCAGGGGATGAATTCCCTTGAGTGGTGTCTACAGTGTATTTCTACTGTGCATGGTTGTACATGTATTTTGGATATACAGTAAAACAAACATGAATTCAATAAGGTGGAGAGAGTTGGTAAGGCACCTCAGGACTATTTGTTTAATCCTTTATTCCTTTTATTCCCAACAAAAGAGACCATTAAGAACTAACTTAACTATTTTTAACTGAATAAGGAAAGAATATGATTCTTGTTTGTTTAGTCCTTGGAAAACACATATTTTGTGCTTATGTCTACTACACAACTAGAACACAGATGGATAGAAAAAGACAAAATTGTCATTTGATTTTTTAGTTTGTTTTGAAATATATGTTCAAAGATGTTTTTCTTTGTGGTTGAATAATTCTTCACACATACGTATGCACACACAATCCTGAAACTGGTCCATTTCCCTTCATATTTCTCTCCCACCCTCTGGGCATTACTGTGGCGTGTGGAGCGTTGCCAAGCCACCAGGCCCTCTGTGACACACAGGGTGGCCTTTTCCACCACTCTCTCTCACTCTCACTCTCCACACACACACACACACACACACACACACACACACACACCACCCACACACACACACACGCGCTCACCCACACTCTCTTTCTCAAACACACACACACACACAGAGACATTTTTGCTGCCCTCTCTGCGTGGTGGGAATCAAAGGTCAGCTGGCTAAGGGCAGGGATTAGGTAAATGCATCTCATAGAGGAGACCACACTGGACAGGGCCAAGACCGCAGCTGCTCTAACCTTTCACGTCCTCACTTGTCATCCAAGTGACAACTCTGTTAGCCAAACGGAAACTTTATTAGAATCACAAAAGATGCTATTGTTTTTACTGCTCATTTATATGCTACATTATTATCTTTTTTTCTTGTAACTCAGTACATCAGCAGCTAGAAATCGAACAGAGTTCAGACAAAGGAAGCTCAACAAACCTACAGTGAAAATCAGGTACCTGACCTCATTCTGCAAGAACACAATACTGCACACCTCTGCAATTTCATGAAACCCAGTGTGTGAAGAGTGAGGAAGAGAGTCGAACATCTAATGAACCAAAGGGATTAACACATTTTTCTCAGGATTTTTACAGACCACGCCAAAAGGCAGGTCAATACTGGCCTTACAGTGAGAAAGAGGACTCCAATGAGGCAACACATTACCCAAAAGAACTTGACACACTGCTATAGCACTTTATATGAAAATCCCCTCTAGCAATCAAAAATCACTCCATGCAGGTTTTAACTCATCATTGTTCTTACCAATTGTAAGATTTTATTGTATTCTACTCCAGCGTGCAGTGTGAGAGTATTATTTCACAACAAGGGTTTTATCATCACACAACACAAGTTTCATTTATCCTTGAGGTGTCAGAGCACTACAAGTGGATACATGTCTGTGTTATGTAGAAATGTGTTGTTAGAAAGAGTTGTTTCACTGAGTTACTTTGTTTATTCACACAAACATTCACTGAATCATATTGCCACTTTCTCACTAAAACTCCTTACACACTTCCACTGCATTCCCCAACCTCTATAAATCAACATGGCTCTCCTGGTGAACAGTATCAGTCCATATGCAATAAATACATGTTTGTCATAGTATGGTACGTCTCCTTGGGGGCGTGCTGACATGCTTTCTAGCTGTGTGCACAAAACACTACCGCAGGGAGCAGGGCCTGAAATCAGACTAGCATTATCCCAATATTACCTAAACATAAACACTTAAAATGTCTTTTAAACATATTATTGTTGGCTAAACTGTATTTCAATGTGTGATAAAAGCCCATTTGGACATTTCTTTCTCTGAAGATAACATGTGAAAAGGTTTATTTCTGTTTGATATGTGCCTGCCTGCATGCATGTACACAGGCGCATTCATGGATAATTGTGTATGTGCCTGTAAGTGTACATAGATTTGATGGTGGCACCAAACTGGCGGTGTGTAGCTGTCCCCTAAGGAAGAGTGAGCTTCAGCTTGTCAGTGTAATTGCCATCATTATGCCACTCTCTCAGCCTGACAGCCTCCTTTTATCCACTCAAATATGTGTGTGTGTGTGTGTGTGTGTGTGTGTGTGTGTGTGTGTGTGTGTGTGTGTGTGTGTGTGTGTGTGTTTTGTTAGTTACATCATGGACACAAAAAAAAGAAGAAGCTTTTTGAGGATGGAACCATGCTGGCTGACTCTTAACAGAATAACTGAAGTAGAAGGACATCAAAGGACAGCCAAGGAGAGGGTTCATGAAAAACGTAATAAAGAAAAAACAATAAAAAGGTATTTTTCAGGTCAGAAATTCCTGTTTCATAAGACAACGAGAATAAATGTACACTGAGTCTGTACTATTATGTATTTTGGCTTGATGCATACTGGATCACCTTCAGTAAGAAAATGTAATGTTTCAAAGGACTAGTGTGTAGGATTTAGTAGCATCTAGCAGTGATTTTGCAGATTGCAATGCCTCACCCTCCCGTTCCAAGCGTGTGAGATAAACTATGGCAGCTGCAAAAGGCCCTATCTAGAGCCAGAGTTTGGTTTGTCCATTCTGAGCTACTGTAGAAACATGGCGATTCATTATGGCAGCCTCCATGGACTAAAAACCGTTCACTCTAAGGTAACAAAAACACAGCGAGTCTTTTCCAGTTGATTGTACACTAATGAAAATATACCTATTAATATTATGTTCCATTTATGCCAATACCTCCTCTTGAATGGTACACACTGGACCTTTAAATTGTTACCATCTGATCTTTTTTTTGCTCAATTCAGTACTAAGTCAATAACTGTACATTTGGAAGCCATTACAGCCTCAAGTCCTCTCGGATACATCTGTGTCAGTTTAGATTATTTTTTCTTTTGTTTTATCCAAATCTAACTTGAAGGCATAATCAAGCTCAATGTCAAGCTCAAGGTCAGGCTGGATGGCCTTGACCAACCTTTATTCATAAAATATATCTTTTTATATGCAATAATTTAGCATTAGCAACACATGTTTTTAACTTTTTACTGTTTAATTTGTCCCCAACCAAAGCATAATTAAGCCATGGTTAAGTTCAGGTATGTAAAAGCACTTGGTTAAGGTGAGGGGAAGATTGTTTTTATGGTTAAGTTTGTGCCCCGTCCATCGTGACATCAACACTTACTTCCCACTGTGCTATTGTGACACTGCTCCTGGCATTGGCACTCAATTGCTGTTGCAAATTAGCCACATATGACCATCATTTGTAGGAGACAAGGTTAGGGTTAACAAAACAAAATAACACGGCAAAAGCAGGAAAAGTCAATGGGAATGAATACTTTCTGAAGGGACATGATATTTTATCTTTTTTCCAGATTGAGAGAGCAAGAACTCAACAGCAAAAGTCCTGTCCATGTAGCTGTTGTTCTGGGTGTTTTTCAGGGCTTTCTTCTTCTTAGTTGCAGATTAAAAATGAAACTTTTGAACTGTTTTTAATAAATGTTGAATTAAATGTGTGACGTCTATGTCAGACTCACCTACAACCATGATGTTGAGCTCGAAGCCTTGCTTCATGGCCTTCCTCCTCATCTGCTCCAGGATGGCATCGATGCCAACGTAACTGAAGTCGCTGCCATGGGTCTTCTCCCCCTTACCTTGTGGGGTAGGATGGTGGGGCTTAGCGGACTCTGACATGTTGCTGTGGCTCAGATTGACCTCTGACCCTGAGGGATGCAGATAAAAGAGAAAGAGCAATGAAATAAAAATATATGTTAATTTGTGTCTTCATGATCTCCATGTTATGATTTCAGGTTCAATATACAAGCATAAAGCATGACTTTTTTGGTAATCAAAATGGAGGTAACGCAAATGCAAGTGAAATCATATTAACTGCAGATTACACCCAGTTCAGTGTGAAGCCTGCAGAAGATACTGATCTGAGCAGTTCACTTCCTGTGTGAAACAGGATATGCCAGACTTTAAATTCAAATATATGAGCACCGACCTCTATATAAGACAATACTGAAAGGTGATAATCTGCCATTTAAACTATCTGCCAAAAACCCAATAGGGAGTGGTGCAGATGTGCATGCACACACATCAATTAACAAGATAAACTTTCCCCTAACCGTTCGATAAAGAATTCTTGTTTTCCCAGTGGTCCTTACTCAAGCACATACACTCAACTGTAAAACTAACCAATAAATCATATGACAACAGGCACACATCTGCTCCTTAATGTTGCATAAATTCTGACTAGCAACAACCTCATGTTAGCAGCACAACCCACAAGAGAAATTCTGACACTCAGAAATAAATGATGTGGAAGTTGTAACCAAAGTAAAGGAGTACAGCTGCAGATTAGAAGTGAATTTCAGAATCCTCAAAGACTTAGGAAGACAAAATGAATAGACATTGTTGGGAGAGAGCTCTGCCAACTACAAATCACGGCTTACCTTACTTCGAGGAGGATCGGTTGCTAGAAGACAAAGACTGTGTGCCAAGACACCTCTGAAACAAGCAAACTAAAACACTGCTCAGCTCTGCCAAATGTGCTAGTATGTGCTTGCAGCAGCAGAGACTCACACGCTTCTTCATGTAGGAGGAGACACCATTTCCTGTGATATGACAGAAACCTGTGGTATTTTTTGTGTGAGGTTTGCAGTCACAGACACTATAAACCACAGACACTACCTGAAGCTTAATGTAGACAGCCATTCCGACTATCCAGCCTGCATGCAAACAGGTACATTGGATATGATTGGGCTGTTTTGGATCTATTATTTTTCTCAAATAACAGTTTTGTAAGCTTTTTTCTGAAGGACATAGACACCTTTGTGCTTATGACTTGTCTGACATGACACAGTGTCAGCCTGCATGTTTACAACATTGTGCCTGTTGGTGATACAAATGACACATAAATAACAGGGGAAGATTTTCTTATATCATTCCTGCTCAGTTTTTCCTTCCTGGCCTAGAAACCATGAGAGGTGGGAGACAGTGGGAGGTTGTAAACGACATGTGATCTCGCTAAGACTATCAATTTTCCCGTTTTTACTATAACTATGAAATACAGACTTTCCACAAGAAAAAAAAAGCCCTCCTTTGGCTCTCTGTGACTTTGTCCTGGGAAAGGTGTTGCTAATAACCACTTTGCACCCCTTGTAGCACTGCAGGTGCTTTTAATTTAAGGGCAAAACTAGGACTTGATGGTATGTCTTAAAAGATTTTGTTAGCACCTCTTAATTAGACCATGTGATTGAATCTGCATGATTTTCTACTTCACACATCAAACACGTGCACTTATTTACTACACAATCTCTCCCTCCTATACATTTGCACACCTTAGACACCTTACAAATGCAAGGTCATGGGGGTATTCATGAGTCAGCTGAATTTCGTGGCATATCTCCATGAGAAAGGGTACCACAGCAGCAGTCTCTATAGTATTGGTCTTTCCAGTGTTCAATTTTCAAGTTAACAGTAATGGTTTAATGATGAACTGTTCTGTGATATTTTGTGATGCTTGGCTAAAACTCAATAAATCCATTGCTTAAATCTTGGGAAAATAAGAGCCATCCATCCTTCTGTGCACATTATCAGGCAGCAAATTATCAGTATCAGTAGGTTTTGGTTTTGGCACAATCATTTCGACAACAACAAAGAGACAATTTCCCTTTATGCTAGGACATTCGTTTTATTAGTAAAAAAAAGCAACCCTGACATTCATAGTACAGTTCAATCCATGCTGTAATGTGAACCTTCTGTTAATACCACCTCACGGTGGGCTGGAGCAGATCTAGTGCTGAATTGCTGACACAGAAATGCAGCATCTTGGAAGTGATACAATAATCCTGAGGTATTTGGATCAATTTATCTTTAGCCTATGAGATATGTTTGTAAATGTTAGCATAGTGTCACAAAGCGTCATTTGGCTAACCCTGAACTGAACTCTGTTTTATTAAGGCCAGTTGCATCAGTAGCCTCTTGAGTGACAGAATACAGATTAGCTCTAATGACATACTCTAAGTCTGCAACTGAACTGCCTCCTGGGCACCATGACCATGCCATCCCTGGGCCATCTGCTGGCTTACATGGCTACTCTCTAAGAATAGACAGTCACACTCAAACACACAGGCGTAGTAAGAAGAACTGGCGAGACACATGCATCGGAAAAAGGAAGAACAAAACGGCAGCGCCAGGACTGTAAAAAATGTTACCCAGGCTGTGAACCACCCTTCTGCTGTGATAGTCACTTCTCTTTCTTATACCCCAACTGTGCCTTTTCATTTCCATCAGTACTGCTTCCTAATGATATACATTCATTCTCAGGGCTAAGGATAAGTTTGCCATTAGCAATCGCCTTTCATTGCTTTTTTACATAACTATTTATTTGACAGAGTGACAGTTCTGCCATTTCTATCCACAACAGCCTCTAAAGCATCTCTGCATGAGTCAGACCTGCCTTTGATGCTCCACAAAGAAAGCGTTAATAACCTTTTCTGGATGAGTAACTCATTACAAATGAGCAGAGACTTCTGGTATGACTCAGATCACAACTCAGTGGCCTCAGCCGTTGAATCCAAACTGTTCTCAAATGAGACAGACCCAACGGATGCATCAAAATAGAACAATGTATCAGACATGTGAGAATAAATCTGGAATAAAATTCCTTTGAGGAGCAGTGTTTTATTTAACTGAAGCCAAAAAAAGCCACAGTGAGCCAGTAGGGTGCACAGTTCGTTCAAATAAAAAATTTGGGAAATGGACCTGTGTAGAGGACCAAACAGGTGCATTGATGAACCTAAACTGACCCATCAATGAGAAAACATATAAAAATATTTGGATTGCTCTAACCTCCCTTCATTAATATGAAGTCTCCAACTGAAAACAGTTTTATTAAACTGCAAACAGATGTTGTATGTGAAGATCTCTTCCAATAAATACATTACATCGGAGGAGAGGTTGTGCCTCGTGACATGCAAAAGCGGCACTTCACGATTAGGGGAGCTTTGTTTAATGAATGGAGATGAGTTCAGGCTTTTTCTTTGCATGAATGGATAGATCCCATCAAAGAGATGAATAGTCCTTATCTTCCAATAAGGGCACTTATAGTTGAGTCGGGGCTGCTTCAAGTTGTATTATTGGCATTTAGATATGTATTCTTACATTTCTGAAGATGAAATTGTGCTTTTTGTTCTTGCTGTGCATTTCACACATACTGCACATTGCTTTTTAAAAAATGAGTTTCTGTCATGCGTTTTGTCAGTATTATGGTAGTCATCTGGTTTCCTGTTTGTTACTGAGCGCTTCACAACAGACAAAACCACAGCATTTATAGCCACACCAGAAGAGTTTGCAGCTTAAAGGGGTACTCCACCAATTTTACACATGAATGTGAGTTTATTCGTCACGAGGAGTACTACTCATCTTGTGAAAACATTTGTATGACATTTTCTGTGGCTCTGGAGGGAGTTTAGTCAAGTCTGAGAATATAACCATGATGATATCATCAGGGTTATCTGGAGGTTATTTTGGAGACATCACTTTAACTTTTTTAGTGAGGCAAGGGGTTTGAAAGACCTGGACATTTACCAGGTTGGGAGGATATAATAAAAAATGCAACCAAGCTGCATTATGGGAATTGTAGGATCCAGTGTTTTTGGATCATGATGTACACTAGGAACTTAAAGTAAAGATATTTCAGCCTCTGTTCCATCAATTTTGACAGCTATTTTTCAAATTTGTCTCTCGCAAGTCTCCTAACTTTATGGAAGTGCAATACTCAACTATGAAGTCCTATGTATTGTACAGTACCAGTACATAGTAAGGTAAAATAAGTCATTACTGTTACTACTGCATCAGTGTGTTGAAAGGCTTCTGAAAGACCTGTGACAAAACAAAAGTCTCTCAGTTGTAACTGTTAAATTATTTTGGGCAGGACCACCGAAACCCCCAATGCACACAGCCAGTAACAATGATAAATGGTATACAGACTTGAAGTGAAAGCACTCAGATTTCTTGAAAAACATTAGAGCAAAAATGTATTTTTGTTAATCCTGAATGCCAGCATAGCTCAGTAGAGACCAGAAAACACAAAACTGCTTTCAGGCAGCATTTTTCACTGGCCTCAACCTTCACAAAAAAGTAATACATCATGTTAATATTTCAAAAAGTATGCAACATGTAAACATTTAGCTGACAGATATCAGTAACCACAATCCTGAAGCATCAAACCACTTTGTTCCTTCCTGAAACTGACCTGTAATCTAACCCGCCTGGAAAACTAACACAAAGTGTTCCCGTTCCATCAGATACAAGTTTCTAACATAGAATCCCATTCCCACTTCAGACTCACACATAACTCAACACTCCCCTCTCAAGCCCTTCATTAAAATCCCATCAGGCACATCACATCCAACCCTACATTTAATATTCACTGAGTGAAATGTGCCAATTCCAGAAACAAAGCCTTCATTGTCTTCTTGAAGACCCTCCGAAAAAACCAAAGAAATCCAGTTTCCTTCGATCCACAAGCATCACATCACCATTTTTCAGCCCTGCTTTAAATTATATGAAAAAGAAGAGTTGTTTTGTATGATATTGTTTAACTTCAGCCCTGGTAATATTGGCATGGTAAATATCCTGCAGGAAGGAGAAGAAAACACGGGGAGAAGGACAGAGACTAACCGAAATCAAAAAATGGTTCATGACATGCACAACA